TCCTCCTATTACAGTATCATGGGATTGACGCAACACAACTTCCCGTAACTTTCTCGGTATAATCGTTTGCCAGGTCGTCACTTCCCATCTGCAGTTTCCCATCTCCGGAGAAGAATACCATCTTCAAGCTTCAACTGGTCCCATTGTGCCCAATAGGGCTTTGTCACAGGGCTTAGACTAGACACCTTCTCCCAAGCAGGGCGCAAAACACTTGCTTTTAGAAAATCAATCATTGGCTTCAAATCTTGGTCTTTCTCCTGTTCTGCTTTGATATCTATATTTGGTTCCACTTCATCATCATCAACTTCTTCAGTCACTTTGACTTCACCTTGATGGCACCTACTTAGTTCAACCTCTTTTTTAACAGTTACCGGAACTTAGCCTTTGTTGTTCCCAGATGTCATTTTATCAAAATCAATTACAAATTTCCTTGTTAGTAGATAGTCCATTCCTAATATGCATTCGTCTTCAATGTCAGCCAAGTATACTTTCTGTCTATCCTTTATGCCCATGAGCTCAATAGTTACCCACACTGGTCCCCACAATCTTTTAGAATGTCCTGTCACACCATAAAGCTTCTGTATGGCTTCTGGTACTCCTTCGTGATCTAACACCTTGATGCTCATAAGGGTTTGCTGAGACGCAGAGTCTATGACAGAGTTGCACCTTTGGCCATCTGGCTTTCCTGTCACATAGACATTGTGTGTGCTTGGCATTTTACACCTAGCTGTTGTGACTTTCACGATGGGGGTTGGTGAGTGTCCCTCAACACCAACCACTACTGGTCTCCTTGAGGCTGACTTGTTGGTACTGTTCCTCCTACACTGGCTTCTCAAATGTCCGTGCTTTCCACAGTTCCAACAGCCTTTCTGGGTAGCAGCCTTTCCTGCTGTATCATCTCGATGTATCATCACGATGGGGGTTGGTGAGTGTCCCTCAACACCAACCACTACTGGTCTCCTTGAGGCTGACTTGTTGGTACTGTTCCTCCTACACTGGCTTCTCAAATGTCCGTGCTTTCCACAGTTCCAACAGCCTTTCTGGGTAGCAACCTTTCCTGCTGTATCATCTCCCCTTTGCTGAAGTTTCCAGCATTGAGCTCTCTTGTGCCCAGGTTTGTTATAGTGCCAACAAAGTCCCTCAAACCTCTCTGAAAGCTGATTTTTTCTGGCCTTGGATCCAGATGACTGTACCAACCTTGGTACCTCTGTGCTGGACTTAACGTAGGATTCAAATTCGAGAGCTCTGGCCATTGCATCCTGCATGGTAGATGGGTGTGCTTCCTTCACTTGTATCTTTCTCCTCCAATAGCTGTTGTAATCTCTCTTGTTTATTTTATTGTTCGATCTGCCACTGCTGTTGTCTCTCATCTTGTTTATTTTATTATTCGATCTGCCACTGCTGTTGTCTCTCTTCTTGTTT